AGGATTGCAATGTAGATATCTGATGTGCAGGATATCTAATATGTGACCTCTGGGTAAGGGTTGTTCCACTCCCAAAGGGGTCTCGACCCACAGGTTGAGAACCGCTTGTCCTAGCAGACAGTCCTGCTGAACATCTCCGGGAAACACAGCAGCTTCATTACTTGGAGAAAATACACGGAGCTTAGAGGCTTCACTTGTCCAGGGAAGGACCCGAATCTTGAGTAGAGGAAAGGGGGACATCTGTGGATCCCATCATGGGAGAAGCACTTTGCATCTCTTTACCTCTTTTCTCCCTGCCCCACCCCTAATACCAAGAACAGCTACCCATCATCCTGCCCCAAAGGCCCCGGTGCTTTCCTAACTACATTCCTGGCTCGAGCCTGTCTTCATTCCAGGCTTTGTATTTTCTGATGCGGCATGCGTCCCCTATGGCTTGCATACATATGTCCCCATAGCTTGCGAGCTGTTTGTGCTCTGTTGGGTGCCTGCCTATGAAGCATGGTGGCGTAGTCCCATCTGGGCACGTGTCTCTGTCTATAGAGGGTGTGTGTTGTCCTCACAATGGGGATACACCTTAGGGTTTCTGCTGCTTTTTATAGCAAAGAATGAGTGAGGCGTTCATCCCATTGCTGACACTGTGCTCCTCCTGTGCTTAGTCAGGCCAGCTCCCTTTGATAGCAAGTGTCCGAATGAGCTCCAGGTGTCTGATTCCCCGTCTTGCCATTAGGCCAGAGCCAACCTTTCCTTATGGCTTCTCTCCATGGTTCGGAGGAGAGGAGTGCCCAAGTCCCTGCGTATAGGAAGTGACTTCAACCCTCTTGAGCTCCAAATCATCTGTTTGACACCTCCTTTTGATAGGAACCACGCTAGCTTCCTCCCACCTTCCCCTCCTCTGAGGACTTTGCCAAAACAATACCTCTTGACATGGAGGAAGAGGTAGATCCTCACCCCCAAAACCTGTTCCAGTGGAGATGTCCCACGGATTGAACTTGGAACAGACAACGAGTTGATCAACCTAGATGCTTTGTAAGGTAAAAACTTGAGCAGTGATCACAAAGGACTGCTTGTCTGGCTAGACTCACACGCTCCCCTGGACAGGTGAACGGCCAGGTTGAGTTGCTACCGAGGTAAGTGGCATCCAGATGCCTCCCTGTCCCGGGCCTTCATCCTATCTCCACCATCTGTCCGATGTCTATGCTCTGCACAAGAACAGCTCATGCCACAGTTCCCTCCACCTCCTATAGCAGAGTCAGAGTCAAAAGGCTGTTGTTTCTATTGGTAACAACTCCTTATAAGAGCCCAAGTTACGCCCCAGAGGCAGGACTTACAGAAAGATGCAAAGGAGATGTGAATCCCTGCTGAGCCCCAGGCAGGCTGGAATTCCAAGCAGAAGGGGCTTAGAAGGATGTAGGAAGATGGGGTCGACCTGGGCCTGGAAGGAAGGCCAGAAGTGTAGAGAGGCAGACCTGAACAAGGAAGAACTTGGGCTAAGGTGGCAGGAAGCGGTCTGGGTTGCTGGGGACAGGCAGCTGATAGAATGCGTACCTTAGGCAGAGAGGACCTGACGCAGTGAAGTAGTAGGTAAGCTTTGACACATCAAAGGAATAGACACTTTGGAAATTTTTATTTTTGCAGGGCTGAGGCTCAAAGTCAGGGCTCTGTATCTGCTGGTCTAGCATCCTACCTGCTGAGATATACCTCCAGCCCACTTTAGAGGAATGTCAAGGCCTTCTCTCTGCGACATTCAGACCCCATCCCATGGGGCCATTGTTTTCAAATGAGTGGAGAAGCATTTTCTCACTCACACTCAGGCTCTGTGTTTGCACATGGTAGGCGAGTGCTCTGCTCCAGAAAGGGACAGACTTTGTTTGTTTGTTTGTTTGTTATAGGGACCCAAGCAGCACAGGTTAACCTGGAACTCACCGTGTATATGAAAGCATCCTTGATCTCCTAATCCTCTGTCCTGTCTCTCCATATGTCAGCATGCCTAGCCAAGTCTACGGTTTTCTTCGTTTGTTTTAACCATGGAGTCAAAAGCGAAGAGCTCTAGTTTAAAGACAAGGAGAGGAGCTGGGAGCCTTAACCCCAGGCACTCCTGTGATGGGCATGCCACCCGGGACCTTTGTGCTGGATGGATGCCCTGTTTATTGGTTCTGAAATTGAGCCGTGGGTGTTAAATGTCTTTCCCTAAGAGGACAAACACACCATAAACTTACATTTCCTTCCAAGAATGTGCTGCATTCTGCTGTGTGAAGTTTGACTTGACCCATCTTTCAGCTGATGGACAGTCTCACCAAAATGGCTTTTTATTAATGGTTTCATTATTGAACATAAAATTAGGAAAAACAAGACAAAGACAAAAAGACAAGTGTTTCTTCCAGGTGATGGGGAACTCTAAGGACTCAGGAGCTTTGTCCTTAGTCCTTAGTCCTACGGAGCTTTGTAATTTTTGTTTGTTTTGAGTCAATGGAACTCAAATCCTGGGCTTAAGCCATCCTGCTCCCACCTCAGACTTCTGCCTAGCACCTGGCTGGGATTTGTGGATGCGAAAACTTACCCTGTCCCCTGGGAAGAAAGTGGACAAGAACAGAAAAGTCAGTAAGAAACGGGCCTCTAGGGCTGCAGAGCCGGCTCCGTGGTTAAGAGAACTTGCTGCTCTTGCAGAAGACTGGGGTTCAGTTCTCAGAACCCACAGGGTGGCTCACACCATCTGTGACTTGTTTCAGGGGAGTCTGTGCTTTCTTCTGACCTCTGTGGGCACCGGGCACACACATGGTGCACACACAAGCAGGCAGGTGAAACACTCATAGACATGAATGAGATTTAAAAATCTAAAATGGCCGGGCGGTGGTGGCGCACGCCTTTAATCCCAGCACTCGGGAGGCAGAGCCAGGTGGATCTCTGTGAGTTCGAGGCCAGCCAGGACTACCAAGTGAGTCCCAGGAAAGGCGCAAAGCTACGCAGAGAAACCCTGTCTCGAAAAACCAAAAAAAAAAAAAAAATCTAAAATGATTTAAAACAAAGGATTCATGGAGAGATGGGCTAAAGGGCGGGGCTGAGGTGAGGGAAGAAGGAGACACTGGAGAGGGTGGTAGACAGCTTCACAATGACACCCTGTGTCCCCATCTTTTCTTAAAGAGCCACCTGCTCCAGGGACCAAAAGACCAAGATGAGGAATAGGTTTACCCCCCAGTGAAGGTCAGTGTGTGGCTTGCAATAGTGTGGCTGGGTGACAAGAAAGATTTGAGGTAACCAGTAAACTAACCACTTGCAGGGGACCCTGACACTCCTGAAGGAGGGTCAGCATGGGTTGCCCAGAGCCTGGGGGACAGAACAGCCGCTGTCTCTTGCCTCCCTGGGGCTCATCATTTATATCACTTCTGAACCCCTTGTTGGTTGGGTATAACTGGTTTTGCATTGCCCAGGGAGGGGGTTGACCAGGGGCGGGCAGGAAGAACAGACTCGGGAGGTGAGGAAGAGCAGGTGCAGGGCAGCTGTGAGTGAAAGGTATGAAAACAGGCGCTCTGTCTTCCTCTGTGGTTAGCAGGCAAACAACCTGAGAGCTGGGGTGATGGAGGGCGGCGACAGAGGGGGAGGAGGATGTGGAGGTAGGAACTTCCGGAGATGTAACAGGCACGCCCCCTTCGTTTCCACTCCGCACGGGCTCCCTCCCTTCCCTGCGCCTGGTCTCCCCGGGTGTGACTCATTTTTGCCTCTGCTGGGTTCCTGTGTGCAGGGAGTTTGCTCTTGGTTGGGAAGTAACTGGAAACTCAGTCTCTGCCCCTTTCCCAGCAGCCTTCGAGGGGAAGCTTAGGCAGTGTCACTCAGTGGTAGAGGTATGGACTCTGGAGGTAGGCAAATGTGCCTTCAAGTAAACCTCCTCTTGAGTTAGACACATCTGTAAAATAAGAGTAAAATTACAAAAAGAGAAAGAAAGATCACACCTCAAGCTTGTGTGAATTAAACCAGATGGGAGGCCATTTCCTCGATTTCAGCCATAATCAAGAGAGGAAGAGGGAAGCAGCCACCACACCAGCACCCAGCCATCCCTCCCTCCCACAGGCAGGATCCTAGGTTCCCTCCCTGCCGTCCTTTCAGAACTGGATTATTGGCTTCTTGTTCCAATCAGGCCCAGTCCTCAAACGTCGGTACTGACTGCAATCCCTAAGCATGCCGCCTTCCATAGCTCAGAACACAAACACAAGCCCTCAACCTTAATCTCTACCACTTTGAGAGAGACTACTGGTCCCCTTTACAGATAAAAAAACCTCGAAGTTTCAGGCCAGGGACGTGGTCAGTGGTGGGATGGGAATGCTTGCTTAGCGTGCATGAGCCCCGGGTTCCATCTCCAGCACTGCCAAAAGTTATAATAAAAAAAATTAAATTTAAGAAACATAGCATGGGGGCTGGAGAGGTGGCTCAGCAGTTAAGAGCACTGGCTGCCCTTCCAGAGGACCCGGGTTCAATTCCCAGCACCTACATGGCAGATCACAACTGTCTGTAACTCCAGTTCTAGGAGACCCAACACCCTCACACAGATGTACATGCAGGAAAAACACTAATGCACACAAAATAAATCTGAGGCCAACCTGGTCTACACAGGTATTTCCAGACAAGCCAGGGATATACAGGGAAATCCTGTCTAAGATTAAAAACTGGAAAGAAGGAAGGAAAAGGCGGCATGATTTGTTCAAGGACGCACCAAGGGGACATGGACTAGTGCAGACAAGAAGTGCTTAGCCCAGAAGAACAGGAAGCGTCACAGGTAGTTTCCTCTCAGAGAAAAAAGATAGGGTGCCAGGTGGCGGTGGTGGCACAGGCCCTTAATCCCAGCACTCAGGAGGCAGAGCCAGGTGGATCTCTGTGAGTTCGAGGCCAGCCTGGGCTACAGAGTGAGATCCAGGACAGGCTCCAAAACTACAGGGAGAAACTCTGTCTCAGAAAAAAAAAAAAAAAATAGGGCTATCATTTCTTATTTTTCTTTCTCTTTGTCCTTGCAGTACAAGGAATTTGCCATCTACAATAACAGCACCGAGATCCCCCTACAGGAAAGCCGCTTCTGCTCCACAGTGGAGGGACCCCTGCTGACCTCCTTCAAGGCGATCTTCATGCCTGTGGCCTATAGCCTCATCTTCCTCCTGGGGATGATGGGGAACATCCTCGTGCTTGTCATCCTGGAGCGGCACCGGCATACTCGAAGCTCAACAGAGACCTTCCTGTTCCACCTGGCGCTGGCCGACCTTCTCCTCGTCTTTATCCTGCCTTTCGCAGTGGCCGAGGGCTCCGTGGGCTGGGTCCTGGGGACCTTCCTCTGCAAAATTGTGATCGCCCTGCACAAGATCAATTTCTACTGCAGCAGCCTGCTGCTGGCCTGCATAGCCGTCGACCGTTACCTGGCCATCGTCCATGCTGTCCATGCCTACCGCCGCCGCCGCCTCCTCTCCATCCACATCACCTGCGCGACCATTTGGCTGGCTGGCTTCCTGTTTGCCCTGCCAGAAGTCCTCTTTGCCAAGGTTGGCCAGCCTCATAACAATGACTCTCTGCCACAGTGCAGCTTCTCTCAAGAGAACGAAGCTGAAACCAGAGCCTGGTTCACCTCCCGTTTCCTCTACCATATCGGGGGCTTCCTGCTACCAATGCTGGTGATGAGCTGGTGTTATGTGGGAGTGGTCCACAGGCTATGCCAGGCCCAGAGGCGTCCTCAGCGACAGAAAGCAGTCCGGGTGGCCATCTTAGTGACAAGTATTTTCTTCCTTTGCTGGTCACCCTACCACGTTGTCATTTTCCTAGACACGCTGGAGAGGCTGAAGGCCGTGGACAGCAGCTGCGAACTGAACGGCTATCTCTCGGTGGCCATCACCGTGTGTGAGTTCCTGGGCCTGGCTCACTGCTGTCTCAATCCCATGCTCTATACCTTCGCTGGCGTCAAGTTCCGCAGTGACCTGTCTCGGCTTCTGACGAAGCTGGGCTGTGCTGGCCCAGCCTCCCTTTGCCAGCTTTTCCCCAGCTGGCGCAAGAGCAGTCTTTCTGAGTCAGAGAATGCCACCTCTCTTACCACCTTCTAGTTCCCAGAACCTCCACACACTGCTTTCTGTCTCTGTTTTCCTTGGGAGCCTGGAGTGAAAGGGCTAGAAGTCATTTCAACAACAACTGGGGTTCTGAGAGCTTATTTGGGCCAGTGTCCCTATATGGGGCAGCCAGGTGAACTCTTTCTAGAATATCCCTAAACTTTTCTGCCAGCCCTCAGGCTAAACTAGAGCCCAGGGAGGGGAAAGCAGCCCAAAGACAAAGCAAGAGATATCTAGAGAGCCCACATCACCTGGGGCTAAGAGGACTGCACACACTTCCTATCCTAACCAGCCAAAGCTAAGAAGCAGCTTACTTCTCCCCTGGCCTTAGGGAGAACCACTCTTCCGGTGGTTTCGGCTTTGTCTTCCTCTGGTTATGGACCCCAGAGTCTCCTCCCAGAATTCACTCTGTCATCTTAAAGGCTGCTGACCACCACAGCTCCCCAGCCCTCCCATACCACCGAGGGACAGCCAGCTGGCAGCAGAGTATGGCCTTAACATGCTCGTCCCCTAAATACAGACTTTGTGCCAGATCTTCAACGCTGCTGTTCTCTTCATCAAGCAGGAAGCTGAGGCTGATCTACTTTAGGTAGCTGTCTAGCTCCAACCAAACCAGCACTGGGACGGCCCCAGGTTACTGGATCTTGGACTACAGACCAAGGACAGGCTCCAGGAGGCCCTGGAGGCCGGCCAGTGTCCTCAGAAGAGTAGAAGGGAAGCCAGCAGGAAAGCAGCCCAGTGGAGAAATGGAAAGACACTTTCTCTCCAGGCCCCAAAGTGGGGCAAGTAAAATTCAAACCCAGCGGTCTTCTCTGCCCAAGGACCAAAGCTTCCAGACTGGCAGGGAGATAAGATCCAGGTCCTGGCTGGAGAGATGGCTCAGAAGTTAGGAGCACTGGCTGTTCTTCCAGAGGACCTGAGTTCAATTCCCAGCAACCACAGGTTGGCTCACAACCATCTATAATGAGATCTGGTGCCCTCTTCTGGCCTGCAGGGATACATGCAGGCAGAACATTGTATATGCTATAAATAAAATCTTAAAAAAAAAAAAAAAAAGACAGAGATGGGGCCCTACCTAGTGGATTCTGGGCACTGATGGGGAAGGAGGCCATCTTGCCTCTCCTGCAGTCCTCAGGGCCCGTGGAAAGTAAAATAGCAAAGGGGTCCTAGCCTCAGAAGAGGGGGCACTTAGCGGAGAAAATGAAGACAGAGACCCCTGTCTTCATCAGGTGGGGGCAATGTGAGAAGCCGACCTGGGCAGGGAAGTCCCCGAGCCCCAGGGAGGTAGTGCTGTGCCCCTGGGAGGGTACTACTCAGGTGGAACCAGAGGAAGCTACTCCACACCTGCTTAGGGGAAACCTAGCTGCTAATTCTGAGCACCTCTTCCCAGCCACTGATGGAGGAGGGGGTGGGGGGTTGCCTGGTACCACTCAAGCCAAACAGACAAGCTCCCTGGGGGACCCCACTAGGGAAATCAGCGCTATCACTTCAGAGACAACACCCCCATTGCAGAATGGAGACATCTCGGAATCCCCTTTTCTGTTCTCAGCATCCAACAGCCAGCTGGGCAGCAGAGAAACCAGACACAGAAACAAAAAAGGCACGAGATTACATTTTTGAATTTTCTCTTTTTAATAAAAAGGCACCTATAAAACAGGTCAATTCAGTACAGGCAGCACAGAGACCCCCCAGAGCAAGCCTACAAAGTGTTTCAAAATAAAAACCAAGAAGATGTCTTCACATATTGTATTTATATATTTATATTTATATATATATTTATATAATGGTACAAAATGGCTGGGGTATGGCCATGGATGGAGAGGAGAAGGCTGGCCTGTGGAGATCACCTTGGGGAGCTAGTGGAAGAGGTGGGAGACAGGACACCAGAAGGGGGCATCGGGACCTCTGTGGCCTGCGCCCTCTCCTCGGAGCAAGGCAGTTAGACAGTTTGGACAGGCTGGGGACACATGGGGGTAGGGCACAAGGCCCAGATGGAAGCAGGGCGGGCAGAGTGTCTGGCAGGAAGGAGGACAGGTTTCCACCCACCTCTCGACGCAGAGACCTTGGCTCTGGTCCCTGGGAGGGGCAGGGGAAGCCAGGGGCCTGCAGCCAGCTCTGGAGGGGAGGGTGCCTGACCCGGCTGACAATGGACAGCACCAGACTGGGAGAGTGGGCACAAATTCCCTTTGTATTACAGCTGCCAAGGCAGAACGAGGCCCTGCAGGTCAGAAAGGCTGGGGACAGGGCCCTGGTGAAAGACACCCTGTCTAGAATGGCCCTTGGCCCTGGAGGCAGGGCAGGGAGAGGCCTTGGCCAAGGAGCTGCCTGCCACCTTCGAAGGCAGGAAGGAGGAAGAAGGAAGTGAGCAAAGGAGAATTTTACTCCTGGGGCCCGAGGGAGGCAAAACGCCCATGCCTGTATGGCTTCAGTCTGACCAGTGGTGGGTGGGTGGGGCTCTCCTGGGAAGTAACAGGGAGGCAGTGGCTGTGCCTGGGTGGGCGTAGACAGATCTGGTACATGGCCCTGAGCCCTGGACAGAAGGACCTTGCCAGAGTGGACAGGCAGCAGGATGTTCCCCCGTACTGCCTTTCCTCACTCCAGGCTAGGGGTGGAGGCTGGGGGGGGCGGGAGACTGACTGACCCAGCCACACTCTGTCCCTTCCTTCTTTGGTGAGAAGCAAGTGGTGGTTTCTGGAAGAGTCTGTGCCCCGAGGGGCTACCTGGCCCAAGGCTCCCGAAGCCACAGGTTGTAGTCACATCCTGCGACCCCCTCCATCGCTCCATTCGGAGGGGCCGCAGGCTGCCCCTTCCTTCTCTCCCTTCTCATAGACTGGGGAGGACAAGGGCTTCAAGTTCGGGCTAAGGTGTAGCAGCAGAGGCACCCAGGCCGGGGGAGGAGGCCTAGGTCACTGGTGTGGGTAAACACATGCTCGTGTGCACACCTGCTCCCCGGAAATCACTCAGCAGCAGGCAGGCGGCCATCGTGGGGGGAGGGGGAGGCATCAGTCCTCCCGGGCTCACCAAATGGAAGCCTAGATAGATAGTCTGACCTCAGTTGATAGGTGGGGCGGGTGGGGGGTGCATAGGACTGCATGTCTCTGGGTCCGGGGGCCATGGTGGGAGCGATCATTTGAAGGGGGCGGGGGCGGGAAGGGTTTTTTTTGTGGGTTTTTTTTTTTTTTAATCTTTTTTGTGTGTGACTTCTATCAAAACACAGAAATACGGCACACTGCACACACTGGCACAAAAGCGCAGCTCTATTTACAGCTCCGCGGGCACCTGCCCACCTGGCCAGCCGCCCGCAGGGGGCGTGGGAGAGGAGGTCGGCCATGTCAGCAGGGAGAGGAAGTGAGGAAGACCAGGAAAAGGGGTGAGAGCCGAGGAACCGGGAGGGGAAACATGGACCTGGAGCACCGACGGGGTGACAGTTCCACAAAGGGACAGAGGGTGGAAGACACAGCTGAAGGTGGAGAGAGCTGTAAAGACAGAGGGAAAGAGAAGCCTCACCGGGACAGGAAGGGCGGGGGAGGGCCAGTCCTGGTGGCCGAAAGTGGCGCGGAACCCAATTCCAACTCCCACCCAACTCTTGCCGCTCCCCCCCTAAGCTGCCAGCACATCAGGTTTCCACAAATGCCACTCCCCGACATGTGCCCCGCCTCCCCCCCTTCACCCTACCCCTGGACCCAGGCCATCCATCCCAACACTGGATGGAAAAAAAAAAAAAAACCCTTAAAGTTATTCTCAGCATCCCCAGCTCCAGACCCCCTTTGGAGGGGCCTGCTAGAAGGGTAGATTGGCCATGCTGCCCGGCGCTGGGAGGTAGCCCATCTGGCTGTCCAGAGACACACTGCGCTGCCGCAGAGGGTGGGACACCATGAGGTTCTGCTGGGGTGGGGGGCCCATGAGGGAGCCCTGTGGGGAGAGCATGTGGGGAGGCTGGGTGTAGACCTCACCCCCCACACCACGTTGCTTCATCAGCATAAAATTCTGCTGGGTCATGAGGCCTTGTGGTGGGGACATGACCCCCTGGTGCAGGCCGTGGGGCACCATGCCCTGCTGTGGGGGCACACCTGTCCTGCCCAGCAAGGACATCTGTCCAGGGTGACACATGGACATGCTCAGCCCCCGCTGGACCCCCTGTTGGCCTGGGAGGTTGGGAGGCCGGGAGGGGGTCTGCTCCGCCATCATGTTCTGCAAGTTCATGAGATGCAGGTTGGGGGGCTGAGCCTTGGGGGGCTGGTTCTCACTCTTGGGGAAGTACTGGAGGGTGCTGCTCGGCTTCTCAGAGGGGATGATCCTGGATAAGTCGAATTCAGGAATGCCGGTAGGGGTGGGCCGGATCACCTCACTCAGCTCTGGGTCGTTCAGTACTGATGCCACCCCAGGAAGCACCCCGGGGGGGTATGCATCGCCCATGCGGCCAGCCATGCCTTTGCCCATCAGGTGCTGCTGGGGGGGTATGGGGCCAGGTGGCTGGTTGGGCAAGTCCTCAGGGGGCAGTGGCATGCCGGAAGGGTAGTGCTGCTGCAGGCCAGGCCCCCCACCCCCACCCCCAGTGGGGGCCATGGCACCGTGGGGCTGCTGTAGCCGAGGAGGAAAGGGCATCATCTGGGAGGAGCTGGGCACAGGGCCACAAGGGGTATTTAGGGAGTCTGGGCCTCCTGGGGCCATCATCATCGAGTTTTGAGAAGGGCCCCCTGTCCCCTGTGCATTGGGGTGCAGTGGAATGTTGGACCCCAGAGGGGTAGGAGAGGGCAACATGGTTGGTGGGGGCTCATGGGACAGGGGCTGCTGGCCTGGCAAGTTCATGCCCATGGGGCTCTGGGCAGCAGCAGAGTTCAGGTGCATCTGGTTGGGCTGGTTATTGCTGATGCCTGTGGGGAGAGAACAGGACATCAGAGGTTAAATGCCCACCCAGGAGGTGCCTCCCCCATCCCTCCCCACCCCACGAAAGTACTCTGGTCTAGGTTCCACGGGGGCAATTCCTAGACAGACCCACTTTGCCGCTCCCAGAGAGCTTTGCCGCCTCCTACCTGGCCCGGAGCCCTGCGGTGGTGGGGGTGGGGGTAACAGGGGCCGGTCAGGTAGCAGCTCGTCGTCTGAGGTGGCGATGGTCTTGATGGCATTGTGGTACAGCGGGGTAGAGCTGGGCATGGCATACTTGGACATCTGAGACATCATCAGTGACAGAGGGTTCTGGGACGGCGTGGGGTCCGGGGAAGATGTGAACGGTAGGCTGGGGTTCATGAGGCCACTGGGAGGATTGGCAGGAGGCGCTGAGGAGCTGTTCCGGGGGCCACTAGGTGGGAGGGTACCTGTAGAAGTGGAGAGACAGAAAGAGAGCAGGGGTCACTGGGGAGGGGAGGCTGAATTTGGCCACCTATACCCAGAGGGTCTAAGGAAAGGTCAATTTCCTCCAAATCTCCACCTCATTTCAGGCACACTCACACCTCACTGAACAGGGGCTCCCCACGATCCCAATGGACCACACACCATTTTTGTTTGTTTTTGTTTTTTGAGACAGGGTTTCTCTGTGTAGCTTTGGAGCCTTTCCTGGTACTCACTCTGTAGCCCAGGCTGGCTTCAAACTCACCGAGAGAGAGATCCCAAGTCCCAAGGGGGACCCTTCAGGATGCCTAGATGTACCTGGAGCTCTGTGTAAGAGACTCCACACAGTTGCCACCAATGCCCCCGCAGAAACCTTTCCACCACAAAGGCTCCAACCCAAGCCCACCAATGCCCCCCGCAGGAACCTTTCCATCACAAAGGCTCCAACCCAAGTCCACCAGACGACTCACCCTGTTCCATGTTGCCCAGGGTAGAGGAAGAGTTTATGCTGAGAGGCGGCTGCTTACTCTGGGAGACCCCAGGGCTAGGCATGGCTGTCTTGGGAGAGGCGACCCAGCCTGGAGAAGGCACCGCCATGGAGGGGGACTTGAGTCGGCTGGGTGAGCCAGTGGGTGACCGTACGAGAGAGGAGCTGAGGACCTGGGGAGACTTGAGAGGTCCTGGCGGGTTGGCAGAAGGCAAGGGCACCATCTGTGAGGGAGTCTGGGGTGACTTGAGGTTGGCAGAGGGTGAGGTGACCAGGGGTGAGTGCACCTGGCTAAGGGTGGGTGACTTCAGATGCCCCATACCTGGTGAGCCCATCTGATTAATACTGATGGTGAGGTCTGAAGGCCGTCTGCCTAGTCCCCTGTTGGGGGCTGAATGCACAGACCCAGGAGGAGGATTGGATGCAGGGGGCAGAGGCATATGGCTGAGCCGGGTGGTACCCACAGTGCCCATGGGCATTGAACTCTGATCAGGGCTGAACATGTCTTGAGTGTTGCCCATATCCTGGGGCATGGCTTGGTAGGGTCCCTGACCCCCAGAGAATCCCTGCTGGCCCTGGTTGGGAAACTGGGAAGACATAAGCATCTTCTGTGGACCACCCATCATGCCACTGCTGTTCTGGGCCCGAACCCGGGCCATCTCTTCAGGACTAAGGCCCTGAGGCCCCATCATGTCTCCAGGGCCTCGCATCTTCTGTGACATCAGCATCTGCTGCTGTGGCGTCATCTGCACATTCAGGTTCATGTTCATGTTCATGTTCACATTCATGTTCATGTTGAGGTTGCCCGGCCCCATAGGCGGGTCTACCTCCCTCAGCCCAGACTGTCCCATTGGAGGGCTCAGGAGGCCCCGGCCTCCACCGAACTCTATGCCCATGGGAGTGCCGGCCAGGCCATCTCCACCAGTCATCTGCCCCGGAAACATGGTGGGATCCATCTGTCGATGTGCCTGTATCATTCGGTCCATTTCCATGCTCTGTCCCATGCCACTACCGGCCATGCCCAGGGGGCGCTGCATGCCCATTGACCGCTTTTCCAGCAACTGGTGCCTCAACAGCTCCTCCCGGACTCGAGGGGTCATGAATCGCTCTGCCTCACCCTGCCCGCCTGGATAGGGCACGGCATTCTGGGCGAAATTGCTGGGCCCCCCAATAGGAGGCAAGTCTTCGGTCCAGCCCATGCCTGGCCTTACAGGTCTCTGCATGGCATTCATGGGTACCTCCATGGGCATACTCTGTATACTCCCAAACCCAGGCACCCTTTGCATCTGGTTGC